GTGTTATTTTCTTTGAGGTTTTCATTGTCTGCTTGAATCTTCTCAAAATCTTCCTGCAGTTTGTCAAATTTTTCATCCTCTTCTTTGCCCTTTTGTTCAAGCTCCTCTTGTTTCTGCTTTTTCTGATCCTCCTGGATTTCACTGTTTCTGCTTTGCAGTTCTTTGTGAATCCTCTCAAGCTCTTCATATTTTTGCAGGTGTTGGATCTTCTCCTGAAGCATTTCTGTGCTCCTGTCCTGGACTTCTTTATGCTTCTGCTCAAGCGCTGTATATTTGTCTTCTACCTTTTCCTTCTCTTCCTCAAATTCTTTATTTCTGTCCTCCAGTTTTTTCTTCTCTTGCTCAATTTCTTTATTTTTGTTCTCCAGTTTTGTCTTCTCTTCCTCCAATTCTTTATTTTTGTTCTCCAGTTTGTCTTCTCTTCCTCCAATTCTTTATTTTTGTTCTCCAGTTTTGTCTTCTCTTCCTCCAATTCTTTATTTTTGTTCTCCAGTTTTGTCTTCTCTTCCTCCAATTCTTTATTTTTGTTCTCCAGTTTTGTCTTCTCTTCCTCTAATTCTTTATTTTTGTTCTCCAGTTTTGTCTTCTCTTCCTCCATGTCTTTATTTTTGTTCTCCAGTTTTGTCTTCTCTTCCTCCATGTCTTGACATTTCTCCTTCAAATTTTGGACTTCTGAATGTTTCTCCCTTAGAAATTGCTGGTACTCATTTTCTGCTTTAATTCTTGAGTACATGTCTGACAGCTTTTCCTTCAAGTCATCCAAGTCTAGCTGCTTCCCTTCTAGTATTTTGTTTTCTTCTTCTAGCTTTTCATTTCTTTTCTCCAGTTGCTTGTATTTGGACTCCATTTCTTCTCTAAGAGCTACAAGCCCATCCTTATGACATAAATTGCTCCTCTCTACCAGAAGACCGTTTAGGCGACTTCGCAGTTGGTACTCGCTCTCTCGTAGACGAAGGTTTTCCCTCCTGCAGTTCTCAAAAGCTTTTCTGAGACCATTGTATTCACCGGGGGGACCGTACTGCCCACCGCAGCGAGGAGGAGGTCCTCTGAAACGCGGTTGATAGATGTTTTGAGACATTGCAAAACAAACCAACGCAAGTAGACTGATGTTCTTCTTGTTTTTTGAAGACGAGTGGAAAATCTTTGCAAAGACGAATTCAAAACTTGTTTAAATATGTTCAGAAATGTGGCGATGTCAACGTCTAACCGGCGAAAACACACTAAAGAAAAATACCGAACACTGTGTTTACTTGTTGCCCGTTACTGTGGTTACTTCACTGTTTCAAACATTAACACGTTCTATAAGCAAATTACGCTGAGACATGGCGTTCGGCTAACGTCTATCACGTGACATCAAATAGGATTTTAAAGAAAACACGGGTGTATTTTGCCATTTTCAATAAAGTTTTAATTTCTTATTCTTCAACATATTTAGGATCCTTCTTACCGAGTGTTTATATCGCGGGTGTAAGTTAGAAGGGTACGGAGCCCCTCTGATGACATGGTCCAAAAATAAGTAAATTGTGGCCACAAAATACTACTTGTGCCCACGAAATGGGAATAACGTGCGCACGAAATGCTAATTTGTAGCCACGAAACACTTGACAGATAACCGTGATCCTTCCCAGACCCTTGCAGCAATAAAATCTATCCCGGCTCCATGTCGTACTTAACGTCTGTAAAGCAACTGGACTCTCAATATCCTGTTTAAACGTCTCTCCGTAATGGTTCCTTGCATTGTCAGGCTTTTCAAAATGCATTTGTAGCTCATTCCCAGCCTAAAATAAAACGCAATCATACTGTCTCTGTCCATGGTTTATAGGTTTAGCCTACTCTTATGCTTGTGTCTCTACGCAGCTGTCCAGGAATTGTATCAATATGATGTGCTCACGTTATCTAATTGCCACAAATGCGTAATTCGTTGCCACGTTATACTCAATTCGTGCCCACAAATTAGCATTTCGTGGCCTCGAAATAGTATTTCGTGGGCACGTTATACTACTTCGAGGGCACGAAGTAGTATTTTATGGCCACAATTTATTTATTTTTTGGACCATGACATCAGAGGGGCTCCGTAGAAGGGAACCCCTTCTATAACAGGGAAAGTAGCAGGGCGTGATCACGGAAACAGAAGACATAACACCCAGTTAAAATAGTCAATAAAAATAAATGAACTTTATTTACAACACTAAAACTGCCCTGATCAGGGGAGAGAAAACCCCCATAAACCTCGGCATACTAAAAATATGATGATGCTCAGTCCATGAGCTAAGTCCCCAAAGTTCCCGATCAGGCTATGCCACACTTCCTGGCTGTGAAGAATATGCTTATTCCACCAGTGGGAGCCAGGCCGACCGCGTCCTTTTTCTTGTGGCTGCGCCTGCCGCCACGCTACTCCATGGCTCTCCTGCTGCCACACACGTCTTTCTGACCTGCCAGAGCCTCTTATTGGCCGCTGCCAACATGGGAGGCCCGATTGATTTCTGTCCCCTGTGCCCTCCAGGTGTATCTAATTGGGGAAGCAAGGGGGGCGGAGTCTGTCGGGGAGAAGTCCCAATAAATGGAATAAAAGCATGCAACACTAAAATACACTCAACATTAAAACGCAAAGCATGCAACCACTCGATAATAAAAATCCTTCTTCATAGGATGGCATTTACATAAGGTGTCCAAGGTCGATATTTCAGAGAAAAACGTAAATGAATCTTTGTATTGGCAGTAATAGTGCAGCACCGAAAAATGGCCCCTTGTGTGTTTGTTTCTTCTTTTGTTGTGGCCAAAAGTGGCAGTACATGGACAGTAAATATATCACATTAAATGCTGGCATTCAGTTAAAAACCAGACATGAATGAAAAAGATACACAAAGATTAAATGCAGAAAATAATATATTTATGATGAATATACAAAATAATAATTCTCCGAGAGCAGAAACAGGTTGCAGCTCTGATTTCAAAGTTTTAAAATGATTTTTACACATTTCAGTTTTTGAAGCAGAACATCATTTTGACATGAAACCTGGAAACATATTAAGCGTTACTAAGTCTTCTGTATCCGTTCTGGCATTTTTAATGAACCAAACTGAATCCAAATTGGTTCGAAAGTCAACGACTTATGATGATATTTAATTGAATATAGGTATCTGCCTCCATATGGCACTTCGCTGACGCGTTGTTACAGCGCACAGCAGCAACCAGTGGGGCATGCACGTGTTTATGTAGGCCTATCTGTGTTGTGTAGATATAATAATGTCAGATTAATAATGACAAACCAGAAATAAAGATAAATATCTTTTGTAAAAGATAAATGACAACTTCTGTTTTCTGAAAGCCCTGTTAACCACACTCCTCCACAGTCTCCTACAAAACTGCTTTTGAGCTGGAGACCCACATGGATGTGACTAAACTAGCCACCGGGTGGGGTTGTTTACCCATCTTAACGGCGTGGCAGGAGGATCAGCTGCTCCGTTTTCCCCCGCCTTCATCTCTCTCCAGCTCTACCCAAGTCCAGTAGCACATTAATAAGAAAGTTTACTCGAGGACACGCTGGAGAAGTCTTGAGTGAGTGTTACTTTACTGTTTGAGTAATCAGTGTACTTACTCATCTCCAGCCCCAGCGCTAGTGGCTGCACAGCTGCGGGTGGGGGCTTATGTAAAAGGATTACACCTCTTAAGACAATAATGGTCACCGGGAGAACAAATGAGGTGGTATTAACGCTCCGGAGGTGTCTCTTAATGCGTCAGTGAGGCGGACCAGCTCAGTGCGAGCGCAGCCAGCGCAACATGGACACGGCAGGTAATGCTAAAATTCTTTACTTTATTTTAGACTCAGCAAGTCGAAGATATGAACAGAATTAAAGTCCACCTATAATTATGCCTCCCTGCAAACTGTCGCTCATATAACTTACTGTCAAATTAGACCTGTTGGTTATATGCATGCTGACTGAGTTGCTGTCCATGGTGCTGATTAATAGACGGCCACGGGAGTTCAGTGAGTGTTTCTTATCCTCACAGGTCAATACTGTGTCAGAATTAAAGGATTTCATTGTCTATTCTTCAGCTCTGAGGCCACATTACTCATGTTATGGTTCAAAAATATTGGAGATGGACACCAGAGGAAAAACCCACAATAACAACACTGGTCCGGTCGGGTTGAGTCAAACGATGATTTAATGATCACACACGTGGGAGATGGACACTGTATGCAGACAGTCTCAGATCTCATCTCAAAAAACACATTTCCATAGTTTTATGAAATCAGGGTATTAGAACGCCCCCTCATGCGTAGTGACAGGTGTAATACAATCAATGTTGACAATTTTATTTAACACAAAGAATAACATTGTCTCCTTCCCGAGGGCAGACGCTAACTGCCCCCCTTCTCCTGGAACCGTCTGTACCCTGCTGAGACACAACATGGCAGCTACAAGGACTCTTTCATTTATTAAGACCATTAGTGTGTATTGCTCTAAATCAAGTATATAATATTAAATGAATATTGCTGGATCAGCTACTTCTACTTAAAACATATTAAAACATGACTAAGCACAAAATCACCAAGAATGACATCTTATAAGTGCTGTGTAAGCGCGTGCGGCCTTCCAAGCTCAAAGCCTTTGCCCTCCATAGATCAGCCAGACTCGCGCTGGCTGTAGCTTTTAACCTTTAATTACCTTGAGCACAACTCTAGAATGAGCAACAAACTGCAATGTGTGTGGAATGATCATGGTTACATCTGCAATGGAAAATCATGTTATTATTCTGATACCTGTAAGAAAGATCAAATTAAAGTTATCACCATCACTGTAATGCAAAGAATAATGTAAGATCAAAAACTTCAATTTATGCTTAATGCAAAGCTGGTTATATACTTCTAATGAACTAATAATGACATATTAAAATATTAAATGATAATGAGAAAAACATCCCCTCCTTATTCTACAATTCCCTCTGTTGACCTCTGGAGAATCCAGAGGTCACAAACAGTTGTGTCCCTCCTTGGCCTACACATTCAGCTCCACATGCATCATTGGCATCATGGACATTGGAGTAATGACTCCAGGGTCCACTGCCCTCACAGACATACTTTTGAACATTCGTCTGGCACAAGGGATGAGACAACAACAAATAACCATAACACCCACCACAATAGACAAAGAAAACATGACCGAAGCGATGACCCCCTTCCACCGTCCGAACACTGAGGTCAGCCAGCCTTCTAACGGATTACCAACACCGGAGTGATCATGCATAGTTTCAGAAAGGCTCTTTAGGCCCTCCAGAGCCTTGGTTACCGACCCATCTGGAGCAGTATTGTTTGGAATAAAGGTGCAACACTGGTCCGCAAACATAGCACACACGCCCCCCTTTTCCGCTAACAACATGTCAAGGGCCATTCTATTCTGCACTCCCATTAACGAGGTCGGACCCACCTGCTCCGCTAACCCCTCCAATCCGTCTCTGGTCAGGTTAGAGAGCCTCAGTACATTGTAATGAACATAATTAATCCTATCTACATTCTTGTTTGGAGTCACTGGAAAGAAAGCAGAAATTATTGGAATATTTTCAAACCCGGCTGCTATTTGGTCAACAAGTTTAAACTCATTTGGAACCCCCCTGGGCACTCCAATGGAGTCGATCCAGGTGGGGGAATTCATTCTAGGGTCATAAACATTTGTGTTTTGTATTCCTCTCTTTCTCAAAATGTGTCTTTTGCGCCTGGCTGCCAAAGTGCGCGTATTGTGTGAGGGAATTGATTTTACCTTATTTCCGATTAGCATAAGTGGCGCTCCTAGTCTCACCATCGCGCACGTCCCCACGCTCCCAAGAGGAACACGTACCAGTAGAGTCCTGTGCCCGCAATAGTAATACAGCCCGCTCCTAGCCCAAGTCCCAATTAGGGTGGCTGCATCACTCACATTGTTGGTGGTCCTCCCAATCTGGGTGACCGAACACCAACTGGGGTCAATTTCCCCCAACCGATATTTAACTTTATCTGTGGTAAACTTAAAGCACGTATAATTATCTTTCCGGGGCATAAACGGCCCTACTTGCGTGAGCTTGCCAATAGGGGGAAATAGACTGGACAACACAGTGCAGTTCCCCGTATTCACAGCTCCTCTAGTTATTTGCAACATACAATTATAGCCCCACTGATCCTCTGGATGCAGAGGTGCAGGCTCTATAAATAAACGCGGCCTTGCTGAAGCGCAGGCTACACAATTAGCCACTTTTTGTTCTCTAGCATTTTGGGCTATCCAGTCCAGCCAGATGTTACTGTCACTGAACCCGGTAGCGCGTTCAATCAAATCCTGAGGTTTCAGGGTGGTGTAGTCCACCGACACTACTCGCCTCTCTCTTGGTTCGTGCTCCTCTGGTGTAGCTTCCGATGACCCGCTCCCCTCCTGCCCTGTAAAAGATGCAACAGAGCTGGTGGGAGTAGAAATCACACGAGTTGTTATGTCTTCTCTACCTGACGGTACGCGATTAGTTTTTTCTAGGAAATTAACTTTAATTAACCCTTTTGGATCAACCCCCGCTATTTCCACCCCCAAAATTAAATACATAGATTGTTTGCGATCCCAATTCCCCAATGATAAAGTTAACGCGTTTCCAGAGGGGCTAAAATCCCTCTGTAGTTTAAGCCCGTTTTCTGATCCTGATTCTAACGGTTCCCAATTTTGCCCAGTGTAACCCCTTACCTGGTCCCAATTACGGCACCAGCTGTCATAAGGACGATTTCCCCTCTCGCAGTGCGTACTCACTGAATAATCCCAACAGACCCACACATTGTATCCCCTCCAAGCACTGCCGACGTCCCTGCAATTAACAACATCACACAGATCAAACGTAAAGGAAGTTGTGGAGCCAATCACATAATCTAATTCTAAACCACCATATGTGCTGAGACACTCATCCTTTTTACCAGAGACCTCGCGCTTCACTCTTGCCCGCAATCTTAAATCACTATGGACCACGCGTGATGTACTTGGTGTATGAAACAACGCCGGACTGGCATGGCCTCCGTGCTCAGACTGGTTTCCCGGGTCGGTCTGCAACAAACAAATCAAAAAACAAATAGCCATGATTAGCAACATAGTTAACATCAAACTCATAATAATTTTAAACATTGTGATGGCTTTTGAGACTCTTCTTTCATCACCAGTGTCTACTTGTTGTGATGGCATGGTGGTATGTGAATGTTATGGTGTAGTAAAAAGTTCAAAGCCCTTTGTCAGAGCCTCTCTCTCGTTTTAGGTGTTCAGTGTGGTACCGCTCCTTTTCGTTGGCGTGGCGATCTCCTCCTTGGCTGCTCCTCTTTCTTTGACCTTCCGGGTAGACTACCGGTCGGTCCGTTGCACAGGTGTGAGGGATTATTGTGCCGCTCAATTTCACCTGCGTCGAGTTGAGATTGATCCTTCCTCACCAAGCCCTCGTGCGCAGCTGCGCACTGCGTCCAGTGATACCAGGTGTCGCCTTTCCCCTTCAGTTGGACCGCTGTCGCTGTCCGAGCCGATACCTCATATGGACCAGTCCAGCGGGGCTCCTTCCACTTTCGTTTGATGACTCTCAGCCACACTGTTTTCGCGTCCGGGACCTCTCCTTCTCCTGTGGGCCCTTACAAGCCGCCTGTTTCGTGAAACTGGACACTAGCGCCTTTAGCTCGTTCCAGTAGTCTGCGTGGGACCGGTTCCCCTTTTTGTCCCGTTCACCCGAGCCCACCGTCCAAGGTGCCGGAAACTGTCTCCCGGTTTGCAGCTCGTATGGTGTAAAACCTGTGGATTGATTAACAGAACATCTTATGGTCATCAACGCAACCGGCAGGGCTGCGACCCAATTTAGCCCTGTTTGCGCGCAGATTTTTGCCAATTTGTTTTTCAAATTTAGGTTCATTCTTTCTACTTTCCCCTGAGACTGAGGATGATAGACCGTTCCAAATTTATGCTGGACGCCCAACATTTTTTCTACTTTTTCCAAATCTTGATTTTTAAAATGGGTTCCATTATCTGATCTAATTCTTTTCGGGAACCCATGACGGGGAATGTAATGATTGATTAAACACTTAATGACAGTCTTAGCATCCTCCTTTTTTGTAGCCCAGGCCTCTGGCCAGCCGGTCAAAGCGTCAACACACACTAACAAATATCTTACACCGCCCGGCCCGGAATCAATCATATCAGTGAAATCAATAACAATCTCCTCTCCCGGCCTCTCAGGGGGCCGAAACTTACCCACTTCCGGTTTTACTGCTGGCTTAGGATTGTGTGCCCCACAGATTAAGCACATCCTGGCCTTCTCCCTTATCATTCCTCGCAGCTCAGGATGCCACCAATGACACAAATTTCTTTCCATCTGGGCTCTCCCCACGTGGGCAAGTCCGTGGGCTTCATCCACCTTCTGTTCTGCCATTTTGGCTGTCAGCACGAGGCGCCCGTCTGGCCCCCTCCACAAATGTCCATCCTGCCAGGCTCCTTTGTTTTTCCACACCCCCTTTTCCTCTGGGGATGCCTCCTCCTGGGCCCGTTTAACTTCCTCAATCAGGTCAACAGGTATCTCTTCTTCTGATGTTACCTGTATCATTTGTCTCTGTCCTTTGTAGCCTGCGGCCTCCTTTGCGGCTTCGTCTGCTCTCTGGTTTCCTTTTTCCACCATACTGGTTCCTTGGGAGTGAGCTTTGCATTTTATAATGCTCACCTCCTCTGGGTCAGCCAAGGCCTTTTCCAGTTCCTCCATTTCATGTTTGTGGGAAATAGGTGCATTGGTTGCTGTTCTGAATCCTGCTCTTTTCCACTGAGGCAGCTCCACATGCGCTGCTCCAAACGCATATGCCGAATCGGTGTAGATGTTCACTCTCCTGTTCTTGGCTAGTCTCAAAGCTCGAGCTAAGGCTATCACTTCAGCTCTCTGGGCCGACTGCTTTCCCTCAATCCTTCCTGACTCTCTGACCTGATAATCTCCTTCTACTCTGCAGACCACCACATACCCTGCTTTCAGTCCTCCTTCGTCTCGGTGGCAACATCCATCGGTGAACCAATCCTCAGCTCCCGGTATGGGTTCGGCCTTCAGGTCCTCTCTAATCTTTTCCTCGATCTGTGCTCTTTTGGCGCAGTCATGTGGTTCCCCTACACCCATTAAATCTGCCATATTAATTCCTTCATGTGTGAATGTCAAATTTGGGGCCTCTAAGACTTTGCTCAGTCTCTGTTGTGCCCGTGGTGACATACAAAATGCTTGTGAATTTACGTATGCCACTATGCTATGTGTAGTGAGTATTTTTAGTGGGTGTTCTCTCACTACATGTGCTGTTTTTTGGATAATCCTAGCAACCCCTGCTGCATGTTGTGTACATGTAGGATGCTTTGCTTCTGTTGGATGTAGTTTTACACTAACATACATGAGCACTTCTCTACCCCCCCCTTTTTTCTGAAACAACACTCCATTTACAATTGAGTTTGTTTCAGAAACATCTAAATAGAATGGCTCGTCATAATTGGGTGTGGCTAAATCTGAGGCCCTTGACAAATCCTGTTTTACACTAATAAATGCGGCTTCAGCTTCAGGCGTCCAAGGTAACTCAGCCTTAAAGTTTCGAACACCAACTTGCTTCATTAGGCCCCTTAAAGGGGCAGTTTTTCCTGCATAATCCGGAATGAACTGCCTGCTGTAACCTGTTAAACCAAGAAAAGAAAGCATTTCTCTCACAGTTCGCGGTTTTGGGTGTGTCAAAATTTGGTCTCTGTGTGTGTTCATCAAACCCACTGATTTGTGTGCGATTACCCGGCCCAAAAAGGTCACTTCAGGGCGAACCAACTGCAGCTTGTCTTTACTTACTTTAAAGCCACATTCCGCCAACCTATTCAACACAACGAACGATGCCGCTGTACAATCCGCTGCTGACGGGGCTGCAATGAGAAGATCATCAACATATTGTATTAATGTACAATCATTAGGCAAATTACATGACGACAGGGCTTCTTTAAGCACCTGATTGAAAATGCCTGGAGAAAGTGCAAAGCCTTGTGGCAAACGTGTGTATCTGAGTTGTTGGCCTCTGTATGTGAATGAAAAAATGTCCCTGAGTGACTCATGCAGAGGAAGACAAAAGAATGCATTTGCCAGGTCAATGCACGTGAACCACTTTTGGTCACATGTGATAGCTGATAAAGCTGTGTACGGATTTGGTACCGGTGCAGTAGTAGAGAGCAATATTTCATTAATGGCTCTCAAATCATGTGCCATACGGTATTTTCCTGTTCCATGTTTCTCCACTGGTAGAATTGGTGTGTTCCACAGTGAGTGAGAGGGCTCTAACACCCCGGCCCTTAGCAGGCCTTCTATTGTTTCTGTAATTCCTGCCTCTGCTTCAGGTTTGTGTTTATACTGTGGTCTATTGATTGGTGTGTGTGACTTGAGCTGGAACAAGACAGGAGGACACTTAGCTAGGCCAACATCCGTGGGCCCTTTTGACCATAGACTGTCAGGCAGATTCGACAGTCCAGCAACTGCGTGAGGATGATCTACACACTCCTCACCATGTGTTTTTGAAATTTCTTTATGTTCCAAGATCACTGTATCCTCACAGGCACAAGTTATGCGATAGGTTTTACAATTTGGAGCATAAGATAAGTTAGGAATTTGGGTTCTTTGCCACCCTGTGTCGTCCAGTGCTCGCCTGACCATTGGACCTAGATCACCTGCACCATGACCTTGGTGGACCGCCAATGTAATGTGAGGGGTTGAATTTTCTTCCACATTGTACCAAGGCCGTTGCTCATCAGTTAATTTCACAGCCGCGGCTACACCTTCTGGTCCGATGTAGATGTCATGTGTTTGCACATTCCACGTCTGACCCTCAAGATCAGATTGAAATAATTCACGATAGGTGTCGTCATTCTCTTTATCATAAAACAGGGTAACGTGGTAAGGGTCGCGCGGAGGGGAGTAAACTGCCAAGCTCATTATCCAGGGTCTCCACAGCTGAAATTGCCTCAGAACATCCTCTTCCACTAGTCTCCCCAGTAGATATTGACTTTTGCTCTTTCACAGTCTTGGAGCAGATATTGAGTCTTTGAACTTGTTCCCAGGCACGGAAAATGCTGGCCCCCTGGCAGAGTCACAGATAATCCATCTGCTGAACATGTGATTGTGGCGCCCAACTTCACGAGCAGGTCCCTGCCCATAAGATTTACTGGCGCTTGCGATGACACCACATAGTTGTGTTTCAAAGTCTGCTTGCCCAGCTTTGTCAAAGCTGGGTCAGTCACTGGCAGAGTTGTCGGGATCCCGGAAAAACCCACCACGTTCACTGTGTGGCAGGACAACGTTGCACTGTCTGGTGCTGCTCTCAAGGTTGAATATGTTGCTCCAGTGTCTACTAAGAAGGGCAATTCTGTCCCTTCTACAGTCATTAACAGCATGGGATCTGCCATCACCATACTGTTTGGTCCCTCCGGGTCCCTTCAGTACTGGTCCTCCCCCCAGTCAGCCACTGGATACTGCGCGGCTGGTGCTGCACTCGGGTTTGGGGCCTGATATGCTCCCCTAGAGCCATCTCTTGCTCTTGGAGCTCCACGTGCCTGGGATTGGTAGCCTCTTCTTTGATTGTTCTGACGACGTTCTGGGCAATTTCTGTTCCAATGACCCTCTGCTCCACACCTCCAACAGACATTCCAAGGCACACTGCTGAGATTCCCCGTGTCACGAGCTCTTTGTACTCCCCCCGCTGAGCCACCACGCCCTCTGTACGATCCACCGGTTCCCCAATTCCCTGTGGGTTGGTTCTGCCTTGGTGCATTGGCGGGCCATCCGTCATTAGTGCAGGGACCCGGGCCACTATCTGGCCATTCAGGCCCAGGACCAGGCTGGGTCGCAACTATCATAATTTTTTCTGTTTTTTCTTTTTCCTCTTTTTTCTTTTCGCTGGCTTTGTTTCTGGCCTCCACCAACTGTAGTTTGAGTAGAGACGCTTGTGCCTCCTCCAACTCTTTTTTCTGCTTGTTCGCCCTGTCCTGCTCCAGCTGCAAACGATGTGAGACGTGTCTTTCCCACTGCACCGAATCTGCTACGGCAAAATCTGGGTTTTTCTGTAGATCTTCTGTGACCTGGTTTGGCAGCCCTGCCAGCACCGCTGAGCGAAACCACGCCCGATGCTCACCTTCTCTACCCGGATGGGTACCTGTTTCTAACAACCACTGATCTCTGGCTTTTTCTAAAAACTCTCTAGGTGTGTTTTGGGGGTCCCAAATTATTTTAGGTATGGCTCCTGTATTAGGGGTTGGGTACTTTTCACGGACTGCGTCAGACAAAGCACATTGCACTTCATGATAAGGCAAATCATTTGCATGGCGAGTTGTGCGAGCTATAGCCTCTACATCTGCTAGCCCACCACCGAGCATACACCGCGCAGAAATGGCGCGAAAATCGCCAATCGCAAGCTCCTCTCCTTCTGTTAGTCTGCCTAATTCACGCAACCACCTTGCTCCGCCCCCAGTTATAGGTGGAAGCTGTTTAACCAATGCCTCCAAATCTCTTACTTTGTATGCGCGGTACACTGGTTCATTTTTTGCACCAGCCACTAAAGGCAAATTATAATGAGTGCCCGCCGCTTTTTCTGCTTTGGTCACAGTTTTACACTGTCCCAATTTTCCCTTGCCTTTTGAACTCTTAAAAATAGGCCTCCTCTGTCCCTGCTCTTTTTTCACCTGTCTTGACCTAAGATTCCTGGCTATACTTGGCTCTGACGCGACTCCTCCTCTGTCGTTATCTTCATCATCTTCTTCCTCCTCTGTGGTAGATGAATCATTGTCGCTCTCCTCTTCTGCCATGCTTTTGGTCATTTTGTCCTTTACGGTCTTCAGTGTATTTAATACTTCCAATAGCCCTTGCGGGGCTTCAAGCATTCTCCAATACTTCTCCTGCCCATGTGTCTGACTTGGCCATTGCTTTGGAGTGTTTTGACCTGGTTTGGGCCTGCTCTTCTCTTGCTGGTGTTGGCAGTCCGATGAAAGCCGGTTGTGCCATCCTTTCCACCGGTGAAATCATTTCCTCGTTTGTTGGGGTCCAATCCGCTTCTCCAGTCTGGTCTGGCAGGCTCTCTCTTGATGCTTCGGCTTTTGGCCTGTCTCCTCCTTCATGTGAACAAGAAGGCAAAGGCAAGCCTTCCTCTGCGGCTGATGTTATCTCTTTCCCTTCCCCATTCAGGGACTGACATTTAACTGTCATAGGCCCTTCATTATGAAACACCCTTGGTGCTCTGGTGTATTCAACATCAGCTACTCCTCCCACAACCACTGCCGTCTGTCCATCGGGGCCTTGAACTTGTCCTCCTCTGAGGGTCATTACAGGCATGACATATTGTCGTCCTACGGCATTAGATGTTAACGTGGCCCAAGGAAGAATCTCTGCTGTGTGATACTTGTTAGCATCTCCTGGTTTTGGAATCCAGTTCTTCATTTGGTCTTCCAGCTTCTTATTTTGGTCTTTCAGTTGTTTCAAAGCCTCCATTATGCTTTCCATATCTTCTGTTTCAGGTGTGTCCTCCTCCTCCATCCAGGAAGATGCTCCATTCCACAAGAACATCCACTTGCAACACTTTGCATGTGTTTGCTGTAGTTTCTTGATTTGTTGTTTAATCTTCCAGTTAATTGAACGTTTCTCTGCCTCGATTTGCAGTTGTTCCAATTGCTGCTCACATCTCTCTCCTTCTATTTTGAGCACAAGACTTAGGGCTGTTTTGTCATCCAGCCCTCTCTGTTGGGAAGCAATAAGCTTGTTTAGCTCAGCTTCCATTGCTTTGCCTTCCTTCTCAGCTAACTTTGTTGATCCAGGGGAAGCTAAGCGAATAGCTTTTTTTAACTGTTGCTGCTGCTCCTTTAGAGGCTTATAGCCTCTGTGCCCTGTAGGTGTCGTGTTCGGGCCGTCAGCCATTATCCTAGAACACAAGCTTACCTCCCTTTTTTGTGACGTTTTACGGCTCCTCCTTCTGGATCACTCCGCAATGTCTGCCTGTTAGCTTTCAGAAATACTTTCGCTCCTCCCAGGGTCACTGTCTCCTTGTGATCTGCTTGGTAAGACACACAGCCAACGCAGTGTGTCAAGACTTAACCAAGCCTCTTTCATTATTCACTTTTAATAACTACTTTTCACTCTGTAACATAAATGTTATAAACTCATACACACTGCATGTTAACTTTGGGGCACAAAACAATAACACAGCTCAAATGCATTCACACCGCCTTAAATTTTTCACAGAAAATTACTCCAAAGCAATATCATGTTTGCTCACAAACTAACAAATTCACCGTGTTGTTTACCGAGCGAGGGAGCAATGGACCAATTAATTCCAAACTCTTCAATAATTAGCTGTATAGCTCGCTCTACTTCAATGCCAAACCATAGTACTGTGATTAGCTTTATTCAAATCAAATCTATGTTTCAAAGCCTTTCAAACGCACACCCACACACACAATTTCAACCACGCACTCTCAAGCACACATTTGTCTCCTTTAAATCTACTAATCGCTTGGAGACATCTCCACAGATAATTACATTATTTCCCAAGCAAGCATATCAAAATCAAAACCGTCTAGTACCGACTCTACCATAGCCTGAGCAAAGTGGGCGGCCTCTGTGGGCTCCCAATTTGGATCATTTTCATGCTCAGTCATGTCCTTTATGCCTTGAAATAAAAATAGGCAACGTTGTATATAGGCATTTAGCTCATGCAGCTCAATCTCGGACCACACTGTCATCTCATAAGGTGAAACGCCTTCCACAGTCACTATGTGACATTTACAGGTCACCTCCAATCGACCCTCTTCCTCTGCAATTTGTATGTTACAGGTTGCAAAATAAAGCACAGGCATGTTTGCTTATTCTATTTAAACAACGATTTAACAGTATTAAGTGGGACTGTTTAGTGCATGGGACACAATATAATCATTTATTGTTGAAGGGACAAATGTCAAAGGGGTTCTAACAGGTCCACTTTATTGCGTACTCATAAATTATTGTTATCTGGGTCACTCACCCAATATGCTTTATTGTTTGAAATTATTAATTATGTCACGCTTATTAGTGGCTCATATTTATTTAAGGCCTATGTTTGAACTTGACAACAAAGGCAGAGCATCATTTCATCCTTTCAGGGTGAAACACTCCACTTTCTTTGTGTCATGGCAGCTCAGAAAACTTCATGAACTTTACTTATTTAAAGATATGGCTTAAAATCAGTTGTGTTATCAGTATAAAATGTTTAAGATTTAATTAAATTGTTTTCAATTGACTTACAGCAGCTTACTCTGATCTAGGAACACTCTCTTATGCTCCTCAAAAACTGAAGTTACTCAGTCTTAAATGCTTTTTACATTACATAAATCAACTGTGATTAACAAATAACCTTCTAGTAGTTCCCACTTGGTTTAAAACGTTCAAAAGCCTTCTAGGGACCTATTCTGATCATAACCTATGTGTTTGTAAGCTTGTTTGCATTTAACCCTCTGCACTCAAGGCATTTACTACACTTTATCAATCCGGACAGTCACGCCGAATGAAGCTTCTGACCTTCAAAGGCCGAGTGCCAACTCATTATAAGCACATTTGCAAGGTGTGTCTGAAAATTATTTAAACCACTCTTTTCAAATCAAAAACTATTTACATTGTTATAACATCAAAACCAGCAGCATATTTACAAACTTTCAGCAATAAAAAGCCTTCTGCTTATAAGGCTCACACACACTCTGGGCAGGAAGTGAAAAGCTCTGTTCTCCTCCCAGCCACACGCTCATTTGCATGTTCACACCGTCTAAAAATAGCTCTCAGCGCTGCAGCTGCGCTCTCATCACACACAGGGTCACACAAAGCTCAGATAGAATTCTATTCACAAAAGACGTCTTATATTCACAATCACTGACAGGCCTGACAGATTCAGCACCTAACAAATTTCGACAAATTTAAGTTAACGGGTCTCACCGAAGAAAGTTTCACTTTTTTGTAATCAATCAAACAGTATCTGTTACTTCTTGGAACAGTTTCTGACCTAACTTCTAAATCCCTAACTCAATTTAACTTTGTCCAAACAAGCACATGACACCGTTTTAAACGATGAGGAGTCTCGGTAACTCCTAGCTTATTTCGGGATGCCCTGTACCCCACAGTTAAACCAAAACTGAACTACCCCTGTTCGCCGACAGGTCAAGACCGCGCGTCCACGGCCAGGAGGGGGCGTAACCCCCGGGCTATGTGCTTCTTAGCAGACTTCTGGGCTGCCGTCCTATAATAATTTTAACCTAACCGATTTTGAAAAATTTTACCATAACGGATCTCACCGAAGAAAGATAACTTTTTTACGACCAATTAAACAGTCTCTGTTACTTCTGGGAACAGTTTCTGTCCTAATTTGTAAAACTATTAACCAGTCTCTGTTACTTCTGGGAACAGTTTCTGTCCTAATTTCCCTACCAAACTACCTGAGCCTTCAGCTCAATATCCAGGGACTCAAACCCAACATTCTCTGTTACTTCTGGGAACAGTTTCATATTTCTTCAACTTCATTAAATACTCTTAAACAACTTTAACTGCATAACACACGGTGATTCTCATCAAAATCAAAACAGACACCCACCAGCAACGTCAGTGAGCAGGCTTTTAATTTAATGCAGCCCAATTTGGCACAATTTGGGAATCAACTCAACAGGCAGTGCCTTACCTTTAGAAGCACCCGCGGAGCTCACTCACATCAGATCCCTGGTCCGTGCCTGTCCGCTCGACAACCTCAGACCGTCCACACCTCACACGTCCACCCCAATACCACAG